TCTCAGTACAGTACCAGCGGAACTACACAGTTACAAATGTATGAATCGTACATTTATTAGTTGTAGCATGGTTGTAGGCTATATTGCACAACATTGTGCGTTTAAAAATATAGAAATTATAATACATGTGTTTAAATTTTGACACTCAGTGTGCTTTAGTTTACAAATTTTTAAATAATCTATTTCTTAACATCAAGCGGAAATATAATTGCAGATAATGTTAATAACTACCAAGTCCATTAATTGTTTATTAATACTGTATTTGCCACAAAACACACCGACTACATAGTGTACATCGCTTGATAAAATACGATAACCAAACAAGGAGACGCTGTGTAGTGCTCCCCTAGAGTCAAACGTCAGCGGGTGATTTACAGAAACTTGAGACGAGACAAATGAAAAATACACTTCGAACGCTTGTGTCTTATGGTTCCAAGTGTCGTCTGTTAAAACGGCAACCATGCGAGCGAAGTCATTATGCGCGTACGATGCAGCGTAAGTGTAGTGTCAGCCAATCACAAGATGAAGAGCTAAGGATGTTGATATTTTAAATGAGTTCAAATTATAATCATATATACGGGCTTATCAAATTTACAAGAACATTTGGGACTGCCTCTTTATCTTGCAGCTGATTACTTCTTTATATTCAATGTATCAGTGTTGATAGTTTTTGATAAAGACGTCACAAAATAATATAAAATATCTGCATAGATTCATATTAATCAATCAATAAATAATGAAAACTATACTTTTTAAAAGTATCAATATCCAATGCAATACGTACTATTTTACGACTGGAGTTATAGTGTAGTGTTTTACATACTATTTCGTTAATTGCCAATTTGTTGTACCGTATACACAACTCAGTGAAGCAGCAGCGAAGAGTGATTATCCAAACTACCTTAACCTAAACCTCCATCGATAGGCCTATAATTGGTAATGTTTCCTTGTTTATATCAAAGTGACTACGACATTGAATATAAAAAATGAGAGTGTGAACATTATTTTAAACTATTTGTTCGAAGGCAAACGCTCAATTATTTTCTTAGTATGAAACAATTCTTAAGATGTGCAGACAATTATTCTCGATCATTCATTTGTTTGCTCAGAAGTCTACAGACAATAGCGATGGTGATGACAGAAGGGCTCGCAAATTGTAACCGAAGAAGACAGTTACGATCTAACAACTTACGGACTCACAAGAAGTGGCTTACTCGGCTTTACGTATATAAAAGTTACAATCCCTACATTTCTAAAAAAATAGGAAAGGGCAGCGCACGTAGAAGTTAATGAGTTTACGCGCTATTAGCTAATGCCAGACGAATGAGCTGGATGACAAGCACCATTAAAATGAATGATTACGTCACGTCACTACGTGAATGCATGGCGCATGCCTCGTGAACCACTTTGAAGGAAGACAAACATTTAAGCAGTGGGTATGTTGTGACCATGTGGCCTACTAGCAATCATATACACACATTCAAATCAGACACAGGGGTAGGTACCGTTTCTAGATGATGTTCACGATCTAGGCTACAAAGGATTACTATATGTAGATACAAACGACTCGTAATCAGGAAGATGATTGTTCCAAATAACTCCAATAACACTGTGAGATTCACGACAGAGCAAATATGACACTATGGGCCCTGGGGGCGCACATGCGCGTATCATCTTCATTCTTTCTCCAAAATCCATTTCAAATTAAATATACAATTATCCCAGCCATGTCTATCCATGTGAATATTATATTAACATTGTAATTTCGAATTCAATTATATTCAGAAACAAATAATTCCATTTTAATACCTTACTTCATGTACACATAACCAGATGCTAAGCATCTTATAATCACCAGTTGAATCCACATGTCAACACGTACGTATTTTCCCCTGTAAAATTATTTCAACAAGTAATAGCAGCGATGTTAAGTCACACAATTAAACAATAGCGTTAAAAATTGTGTCTGCAACTAACTCCAAAATATTGAAGACAGAATATTATTGATACCCAAGTGCGGGTTTAAGTTATTGCGAATTGTAATCTTTAAGATAGCTTTAAAAACTTCTAATCATTTGCTAGAAAAGTACTACGTCACAGCGATTATCCGCGTTAGCATCCATCTACCAAAACAAGAAATTAAATGTACTGTATTTACTATCTTCTATAGTACTGTATTTCTTAATTTTCAAACATTTTTTTCGCTGATTTAAAGTCAATTTTCTGTGATTCTACGTCGCTGGTAACGTCTTCGACAAACGGAGTCTGTCTTTCGTTCACCACTTCTGGGGTAGGGGGATGCCGCTTTCCAGAATCAATATCATTAGTGGCTCTAAATGACACTGTGGGCGTTCGACGTTGAGGAGGTGGTGTTGATGGTGGTGGTTTATTAACGGTGGCGTGGTATCCTCCATAGTTTGTGGGTCTTGGAGGTCTTTTAGGCGCCTGTTCTGTGATCGTCTGAGGAGTTGAAGGAGGTGATTGTGGTGGAACACTTGTGCGTGATACACTTCGAATAAGCGGCTGGGTATGTTGTGTAGGAGGTGGTGAGATCTGCGGGAAACGCATCTCAATTGGTACTACCCTATCATGTGTACTAATGGGCTGGAATCGTGGTGCTTCCACTGCCAGCTCGCCCTTTTCGTTTATGAAACATTTCACCATGTTTGGGTTTACGTCATCTGGTAACGTATACTGGCGACTATAGCTACGCTGGGTGAAACCGCCTTGGTTGTTGGCCTCTCTATGGTTGGCATTTACTGTCACAGTCCTGTCCTTCACCTTCACCTGGATCTCCTGTGGACTATATTCGCTGAGATCCATGGTAGCCTGGAAGCTCCGGTTGTCATACTGTACCAAACTCATTTGTGGGTTTCCTTGAGGCCCAATGATGTATTGTTTTGGGTCGGGATTCTTCGAACTAGTGACAGTTACTGGTGTTGTGTAGTAACCGCGATAAGTTGTTGCGTCTTGTCCTACAGGAACCACTTGGATATCTCTCTCCTGCGTCCGCTTAGAGGTGGAAGTGACAATATTTCTAGTGTGTGACGTGTTTATGATTGGTTGCGGTGGCGTGACATATGTCGTCTGCTGTCGATACGTCTGTGACGTGATCGGCCGCGCTGAGTCTGTACTACTCAACGAGGAATCCGGAACATTAACGTTATATTCAACAGGAATAGTTTGCAGGGATGTGGGTTGAGTAACACTAACAGTCGGCTGTGAACCAGAGTAACCTGGGATCTTTATTTCGATATTCATCTTCGGTTATATCCCGATCTTCTGAAAAAATAAAAAAAAACACCGCAAACTAAATTTCGGCATAAATATGTAGGCCCTACTTAAGTCCCAATTTGATGTTTATCTAGATAAAGAGAATACTCACTGTAAATTAACCGCTAGGCAACTACGTAATTAATTTCAAAAACCATGAAGCATATATTTATCCATTGGCATATACCTTCCTACTGAAAATTACTACAGATACGTATGCATCAACAACGACCAATATTTTCCTCTTTATCTTAGTCCCACTTATGAACGCTGGGCGATTGAAATTCCGAGAGGTGACAGCGCTCGTCACTGGCCTACAGCAAAACCCTCAATAACCAACTTTCCAAAACTATATTTGATATTTCATCATCTTACATGCGACAGCGCCACCATTACGGTACACTAAATAGGATATAGCTTTTTGTATGTAATAACTATATTATGAAATTAGCTCATCTGTTATTTTGAGCCACATTACTGCCCCATTACTGCAGATGCCAAACTGCAATGTAATCGGAAAACGGCGATCTGATAGGACGATATCAATAGCCACAAATGGAAGCAAAGGTGTACAGTAGATACGGCAAATCAAATGTTATAATTTCATACAGTGTGAACGCGCGCACAATATGGGCTGACAAATTATCTAGATTTTGTAGTCCAGTGTCCGTGTATTAATATTAGTTGAAAACAGACGTATTAAAATTAGTTTCGTTTGTGATTTATTACATTGATAAGATCGAAGAAAATTAATATATATATTTGAAAGGACCGACGACTCATTAAGCGACCAGGTACACAAGCCGTAACACCGGGAACCAATCGGACTATAGCGCCTTCTTCCCTAAAAATGATTACGTATAAGATATAATAATTAATGCAAGTATGGAAGGGCGAGATCATGACCTCTAGGTGGCGCGCTAAGTAGCAAGGTGTCATTTGAAAGATTAGCGTGAATGCGTTGTCACTATAATTACGCGCGAAGGTATGCAAGATATGCATTCGTTGGTATGTCCATATTAATTTTCATATGCATATCCCTATCTCAGTTGTCATTTTCAGTCAATTTGAGAATGCTTCTTAATTTAGCGTCGGTAAATATTAATCTGGTTTGATCGTGCCTGTTTTCTAAATCAAGGCTCTTCGGTTATACAGTATTTATGTTGTAGGCTTGAATTGTACAGACACAAATAAACCAAACACTAGCTCAACTATCGGACAATACTGTATAATATAGAAAAATATTTCGAATTTGTCCGATGAGATTGTATTTAATCATGTTATTTCTTTTTGGCACTTGTTTTTCAGAAATTTATCTGATTTTGGTTGTCCAGGTATAAGTATTAATTAATGATGTCGTCATAGCAGTCACGGCGCGCCGGCATGTTGCCAGGACCACGCGCACGTGTCAGCGCATTCTGACTATGACGTCAGATTGTTCAGCTTTAGAATGACGTACTGCTGTCGAAACTTGTATTCTAAATACTTCACAAAAGAGAACCAGACCAGACCGAATTATTTTAATGCGAGCAAGTAACGAATGACATTTCACGAAAAGATAACTTTTAAACAGAATGTAAAATAAACATTGAAAATCCAGGTACGCACTAGGCTAGGCCACCGATGGTGGCGCTATCGAAGCTATCCGTGAACACGTCGTGCACAATGCATTCTTCACTGCCGATTTTTTTTTTCAATAGTATTTTTGCAAGTTTTGATTTGTATTAGATGAAGGAAAAAAAATGTACTTGTGAGGAAATTATGAGACAGAACGCCACAAAGTAGTGTTTAGCAGACCTTTATTTATGTCATAGCATATGACAATACTTTTCAAATATATATTTGTAATTACTAATTTTTACATTTTTACTCTTTAATTCAACCTATCTTTACAGTATCAAATTTGTGAAACCACATAATTAAAAATCATTGAAAAACTACACAAGTAAACAAGACAAGGCATACACATACATATTCCCCATAATATAAAAATCTACGACTTAATTAATATATATTTCATTTGCTTAACATTTGGAATGTTTACTACTCTGTGGGTGTTTTCTATCTGGGCTTCTGCTAACATTCACAAAAAATATTTTATTCCCTCCAAGACCAATAAAAAACCCATAAATAATTAGTACATAATATCTGCAGAAATGTAAAAGTAAATACAAAACCATGAAGAACAAATATACAGGCTAAATTAAATATATACTGGAATCAAGTATAAACTCTACCATAAACAACATTGAAATGCTTAGCTTTCAAATTAAAATCTTAGATAATCCAATTCCCATAGTGTTTGCATACACCCTTAAATTTCTGACAGCAAATTATTTTTATAGGAAAACATCTGTAAATCAACAGAAAATATATATATTATTTTTGGTCTGTGACTTTTAAGTTGACAACTTATGTAGTTCATTAAAATGAGCAATTAAAATCTTACTTTTATTTATTTTTTGGGTGGCAGTATTGTGCTACTCTGTAATTACAGAGGACACAGTCTGGTTTTGGCCTGGGGGTGTGAAAATTGGAATTTCAACCCACTTAGTGGAACTAATTTGCTGCCATGGGCCCCTCATACACAGATTCTACGAGGACTAAATAAAGTAATGAAAATATAAAATAAGAAAATTAGAAGTCGGGAAAACTCATTTCCCGCCATCTAGGAATCAACATTTTCTCGGAGGAGGGCCCCGACCAGCTTTAATTTTTGGGGTTCATTGACTCATACAAGAAAGAATACGTATGCAACGTATGTATAATGATACACACATAATAGGCCTATTTACTGTAATAAGAATGAGAAAAATTTACCTGACCATTTTCAAGGGTGAAGCCTTGAATTTTAAAGGAATTTAAAGTCCTTAAGTCATTAAAAGACACCTAGCTCAAAGTCAGGAAAGCACATTTCCTGCCATCAAAAGTTTCCCGGGGAGGACCCCCAGACCCGCCTCATTTTTGGGGTTTTTGGAAAAAATGTTGGCCGCCCCACCCCCTAAATTTAAACCAATTCATATTCCCATTCATCTTACTAGTGGCTCCCCCCCACCCCCACTTGGAAAACATTCCGCCGGCCCTGAATATTACCTGCTTTCTAACCAATCAGATGCCTGGAATCTATGTATGTCTCATAGGGCCCAGTGTGCTTTGGATCTGGGTAACTTTGTCAGTAATTACAGTATAGTAATATAATGTACAATCTTGGCAATATAAGCATTTGACATAATTCCTTAAAATAATTAAATTAAGTCTTAAATTTTGTATAAAAATCTAATTATATTTTGTTGCTTTTCAAATCTAATTACAGCACATTATTATTAAATTAATTATGACTTTTGATTGGCTAATTGCAGGGCTAATAGCTGCAAAGGCTTGTTGTGCTAGCACTTCCCATTGATGTAATCTTCTGTGACAACAAATGACCAATGAACGCCATCATTAATGGGAGCATGGGATGATGGTAGTAGAATATGACGAAACAAGGACCTGAATTTAAAAAATCAAATGCAATAAATTGGGCCAAGTTAGAAAAAAAGTATTCCGTTCAAATGAAGGAAAAAATTTGCAAGAGGTCCGGCTGCTATGTTTTCTTTGAAACAGAATCCTATCTCGAAAAGTACTACCATGAACATTAAAGTTGTTTGCAACAACCGTCCGCTGCATCTATGCTCAAATTTCGAACTCTATTCCAATTCTAATAGGGCGCCCCCTACCTTGTGGTAGTACATTTTTTTGTTTCATTGCATGCATGCAAAATCAGGGCAGTCGGACCTCTTGCTATTTTATACTCTTTGGTAGTACTGTTTTAAAAAGCATATTTTATACTTTTAGGTTTACATAATAAATTGCTATAAAAAGTACATACAATAATTAGTTTGAGTATACTTTATAATAGTTAAAATAGGAACTGTACTGTTATTGATGATGAAGATGACGATGATGATTAAAATAATAATGTGACTTCTTGCAAGAAGACAAGCTGTGTAGTATATAAACGATGTTTAAAATACTACAATACCTGAATGAACAAAAAACCAATCTATATCGTCTGGTTGATAAAAAAAAATATATATTATGATGATTGTGCTAACGGTGATAAATAAAAATTATAGTTGATTCAATGAATATATTATTGTAACAAAGTACAGATTTTGCAAGTATTATAAAATGGCTTACACAAAGCTCCCGCTATCATACGTGCTTAAAACCGTTATTGATCCTGATATGAGCTTGGTGAATCCGCCACACAATGCCATCGCCGATAGGAATGTGTGATGAAGGAAGCAGAACATGGCGCCAAAATGTCCTTAAGCAAATGAAATGAAGACAATGATAAATTATAGTAATGTTTTTTAATGATTTAATATAAAATATTATTGTTAAATTAATTAAAATGTTTATATCACATGTTTGCATATTTTTTGTTTATATCACATGTTTGCATATTTTCAAATCAACTTCCAGTCATCCTCTAATGACTGCTAAAATGTAAGCATTTTGAACCATTCTTTCTGTGACTGGTTGTGATGCTGATTAAATGCATGTAATTATGATATGACTACATGGCAATGATAGCTTAAACAAGCAAGAAGCTAACAAGATAATATTGGATTTATTATTTTCAGATGGGATGGTTAAGTACGTACCCTGCACATAAACTAATTAAAATGATGACCCTATAAATCACTAATTTTTTCTGGAACAAATATATAATTACACAAATAAATTTAAAAAAAATCTCACCTTCCACCTGATAGCCCCAAAAATATCCTCCAATTTTCAACAAAACCAAAACTATAAGGATTTTTATAAATCTAGGAATAAATACAATTGATACTAAATTAGTTACCCTACCATATTTATATTTAAATATGAAAGTATATCTAACATACCTAAGCCTAGTTAATGTATTTAATATTCTGTATGTATAGAGACCTTGAAACAATGTTTTATAATTTTTTCTATTTTGTGCAACTTTCCAAGAAGACAAATGAATTCTTAATCTGTATGCATGTTCTGACTATATTTCTAATATAAAATTTCTAAAGTTTGGTATATCTGACACAAATATAGGACAAAAATATGAATGAAATACAGATAGAAAAAACATACATACCACACCAACTTTTTTCAGTCTGCTTCGTTCATCATTATTGATGTAGCGTTCAATACTCGTTTCTCCGCGGCTAATCAGAAGTATGTGCCACAATGTGAGTGCGCCTAGAGCGATGGTAACGCTAAATGTCAGGAAGAATTCATAAACAATTAATTTGTGGAATGTACTTTCCTTTTCATGCACAATTTGATTGATAGCATTTCTTTCTGGCTCATTCTCCGCTACACCTCTCTGAAAAAAAATAAAATCATAAAAATAATATTTTCCCCTCTTAAGTTTTTGTTTTGAAATCAATGTTACTTTATTACAATAGCAGCTGTGACTTCTAGAGTTCAATCTAGCTTATTTCTGGCCAACTTTGTGAGGGTGTATGTCAGTTGTTTGGAGAAGTGTCCATTGTTGGAATATCTCTGTGATATACCTTCAGGCCGGTAGACAGGCACATTTCAAACAATGGATAAGGAACATTTTGCAGATGGGCTAGGCCCTACAGGTGCAATACAATTTTTACATTGTTGTTCCTTCCTTGAAAACTGCTGCTACCAAAAATTTCATTATATGTTTATCATAGAACAGCTTTTATACTTACACCTTTTACAATACTTGCAATTCCTTTGATTGGTGATAAATAGTGTACGATATTAGCATAGGTTTTCTAAAACATAAAATGTATAAACAAACAAAATTAGTACTTGTTCCTTTGTGGTGTATATTGACTTATTGAAGTGACACAGTGAAAAAAAAAATATGTGTGGGTCATCTTGTACGAACTGAGTTCAAGAAATGGCAGTGGATGTAGAATTTGAATTAATGAATTAAAAAGTGCATTGAAATAGTAGTTAAGTTAGTTTTATACCTCCTTGGTAATTCTTCAATGAAATATAAACAATAATAGTTCTTTAGATATAAAACACTGTTAAACAATCAAAAGTATTAATTGTCTACAATAATATAACAAGAATTTCAGAATTCAATAATTCATTATTCACAATTATATCTTTCTGAAATAGAGGTGGCTAACAATGATGGGAAATCTTGCCTCCACAATGTTGTCTACCACACAAAGTATAACATTTTTAACCAAATATAACTTAACCAATATAAAAACTGTTTCTTTACCTCTATGTCAAAGAATTCTTGTTTGAATAGCGGCCACACTGAGATACTAACAAAGATAGTGCCCATCAACATAAACACACAGAACTGTATGAAGTACCTATGGTTAAAATGACCTACACAATTATTCAACCAAGCTAGGAGGTCTGGTCAAGGAAAGGAGAACTTTAAAGTTAATTTAAAAAATGAAAACACTGAATTCAATAAATAAAAATCAACTTCTAATGTGGCATAGATAAAAAAAAAAAGTTTTTGCAGATTTACATTTGAATGAAAATCATTAAATTGATTAGAAGTTATATTTTCACTTGTTCACTAAACTCCCTTTGCACCCCCATCATACCCCCCCATTTCAATACCCTTGCATATGCTACTACTGGAATAGTTATGTAACTAAGTCACAATCTGTTTACAGATGAAGCTGTCAAAATGAGAGTGAAATCTAGAAATATCAAATAACACTGATTTTGAAAGTCAACTTTTATTTACTATACAATCATCCACATCAACTGCAATACATGGTAATTATAATTGTCTAAATTGTTTTCAAAAAAGGATACGACAGTGATGATCCATTTTCAAGACACATTTATTGCACACACTACAGTGATGAGTTCTTGCTGGCTTTGGTCCTATACAACGCTTACATATTGTTGCAGCACCTATCTCAGAATTATTCTAAAAAAATATATAATATCAAAAACATATATAAGCACAGTGGAGCTGCAAATAAATACACCTTCATACAGGGAAATCTTGAATTTAACATATAGTAATGAAGGTGTTTTGGCTTATTTTGGTATGTAGTGCATACACACAGAAGTATTGCATTATGTGCTTTATATGTTCATCTTCATTAATTATCATTATTTTTCAGGGCCATAAATATTACTATACTAGTGAGTAAAATAAAAAAGGTAATTATTATGTTACTTACCACTGGTGGGCAACCTGGGGAAGTCCTCACCCCCTTATAATAATTAAAAATAATATTAACGAGAAGCCAATGGCCAACAACTAAGAGAAAAGGCACCACAAGTCCAATCTGATCCTCAATATAATATGGGAGAACATAAAAATAGTATATCAGTACCACTGATGTAGTTAAACCGGTTACCATGACTACAAACATCTGCAAGAAAAAAACAAAGAAAAAGATTTATGTAATCACTAAAATTATGTGAGTGACACTGTGTTTCAATCAACACTCGTAAGCAAAATGTAGGTAAGTTTTTATCTTTTCAAAATGCAACTTTTGTAATCCTTGTTATATTTTGTATTTCTGTGCTATTGTCTTTTTAAAGTATTGATGTACCACACCAGTGTGTGTCACCGATACAAAGGTGCAATTTCCAATTAAATTGGTCTGATTTGATATAATATCTACACATGCATGGCAAGATTATTGGAATACAAAATTGTCTGTTTGCTGCCCCAAATGCTTCAATGATATTGCTCAGCATCAAAATAACACATATAAAATGGTTATTCAGTGAAATAAACACCATTCTGAATAATGCACACACTTTAGAAATGTGCGCTGGAAGGCAATCAAGGACGGATGCCCAGTGGTGGCTGCAGAAATTTGTTGATGAGGGGCCCGATGTGTCTGAACCAAGACCTACAAAGCCTTGGTCAGCGGCCCTGAATAGAAAAAAAACCCTGCTAGGGTTCTCAGGGAGTTTTTATGGCTTATTATGGTCCAAAATGTGATTTTAGACCACAATACTAGGGACTGACAATCAAAATAATGTTATTTGGATAGGAAAATTATTATTTAAAAAATGTTTTGATCTGACGACCTAGTCGTTCATCAGACAACAGGGGGTCCAGGCCAGTTCGGAGGAGGGGGGGGGGGAATGCCCTCCTGCCCCCGATGTAGCCATCACTGAGGATGCCTATTAAACCATGTTCCATGGGGAACCATTCACTAGATGAGGTTGTTGGCAATGATGGAATTGTGATATTACCTTTAGCAAATGGAAGTAGAAATATGGTACCGTACCTCTAGCAACGGCGTATAATGAAGGCAAAAAATATAAATATAATATCTGTGATACACAAGTAACTCTTAGTTACATAAAAGCTAGGATACAATCAGAACACTAACCCCTTTATCAAAAAATGTATTAATTTAACAAAAACTATACTTACAGGACCTAAGTATTTAGCCACTTTGTCAACGGTCCAAAAAATAGGTTCCATTGCTGCATCCAACACAGCATTCTTTGATGAAAACGAATTAAATGTAACAGATTTAATTGCAAAAATACACAATCGGAAGCAATCAAAGAAAGGGGAAATACTGTCTTCTAATCTTCGCATTAAGCGAAAACATCCACGCTTGAGAGCAAACATCGTCTCGTTTTTCCTTTTGTTCAACGTGAGGAATACTGTATTTAAATTTGATCAAGAATTTCTGTGTAGTCATCTAATACCTGAAAAATAAAAATGATAAAATAAACACACAGGAATATACATGTGCTCTAGCCTTTTACAAGCCATATTTCACAAGGATATTTAGTGTAAACTACCATTCATAGAATTATTACATTTAAACTAAAGAAACTTCAAAAAGTCGTCGATTCTGATAATATTTTTGGACTTAATTTTGAAGCATGTTAATTCTTCAAGAGTTTCTCTTTTAGCTCACACTCTTTATACAACATTAACTTTATAGAAAATTTATTTGTTCCTTCCAAAAATTTCAAAATTGGGGTTTTTAATTCAATTCAATTCAAATTTATTTCTCCAAAAGGAAATTACATTGAGAAAAGTCATTGCTCGTAAAATTGCAATAGAGAAATACATCATTATGAATATACAAAATTATAAGTATAGAAAGGTGAGGGTGACAATAAATTGATATGGTATTCATCTCACTTTCAAATGTGGAATGGGCGTGTCCCAAGCGACTGTCCACATTGGTACGAGTTGACTTCAGTACGAGTTCATCTCGTCTTGAAGGTCCCAATTGGCAATAGTAGGTCCACGGTGGTTTCATCACGGGACATTAACGGGAAGGTTAGACTAGGCCTAGCCTGCACCTACTTCAACATAGCTTTTTTAGGCCTAGCTACTAATTAAGCTAATACAGATCTAAGCTAAGATTAGTACTAGCCTAGACACTAGATATGCCGTGAAGGAAAGTCATCATCATTTTGACCTACAGTACAAAACTTGAAACATCGGATTGTTACCCTTCTTCGAAAGGCACCTCCATTTTTCATTCTAAAACCAAAATAGAATCATTTCTCTGTCATAAAGATCGAACCTTTTACTTTACTGCGGACCGAAATATTATAATCAATATTTTTAACAATCTTAATATATTTACAAAAGTATATTTTTTAAATATTTTATTACATTTTAAATATTTTATTGAAGTAATGTAAAATTGACAATAATTACAAAAATATTATTATCATAGCAATATATTGGCGAACTTAGTCACTTAATTTGAATCGTGTGAGTTCAACCTTCTATTAATTCCATCTTTTGACACTGAGGCAATCATCGCATGGAAAATAGATCGTCGATCTTTGGTAAACAAGTAGAAAAAAGTAAAACACAATAACTTGTTAGAATGGTTTCTCTTTATAAAGATAAAGAAGAATGGAAGGATGTCACTCCAATTCCACAAGATGATGGACCTCATCCCGTTGTAAGAATTGCATATTCTGAAAGATGTGAGCTATTTTCCTATATTTGTCGTAGGTCTAGCATAAAGGCTAACGCGACCACTGCGTTCGTGGGGACATTAGGGCGTATAGTAGGCTAGGTAATTGGTTAAGGCTAGGCCTAGCTTTTTATGCATTCATTAATTTTCTTATTTCAGTCAAGGATGTTTTTGATTATTTTCGGGCGATCATCAAAAGTGATGAGAAGAGTGAGAGGGCTTTGCAATTAACAACTGATGCTGCTGAACTCAATCCTGCGAATTATTCAGTTTGGTAGGTACAAAAACTGCATCATACATGAAAATATTGGATAATAATAATAATAAAATAATAATAATTAATGCAGATCAAAGTTGAGTACACTAATGGTTTTATATGTTGAATAGGCTAGAATGAAGTAACCAAAACCTCCATTAATAAATTATAGACTGTGGATTACATAATCAAAGGTGGTGATTGGTGGAGCTGGCTTGTCCCTAACCTAAAACTCAAGCCTTGCTATCTTAATGTACTATGACATGTCGGAAGAATATCATCAGTGTAAATTATAATGTGTTTGTCATTTTTGGTAATTATTTATAGTTTCTGCACCTTTTATTCTGTCTTCTGGTTCTTTTTGTTAATTTTTTATGAGCAAAAAAGTGTTAATATGCAAAAATTGTAGCATCAATTAATATTTATTTTCTCCAACAGGCAATACCGGCGACTAATTTTGAAGGCTTTGAATAAAGACTTACAAGAGGAACTAGATTTTATCAAAGAAATTATCCAAGAAAATCCAAAAAATTATCAAGTTTGGTAAGTCAGTAATAGATGAGAGCCTGGTAAAGACACAAAGCTGATCAGTACAGTACTGACAAATGACAAGTGATTTACTTTTTCTTTTTATTTAATTATATATTTTTGTACTTTTTCTCATCAAAATCTGTACAGGCATCATAGAAAAATACTTGTGGAGTGGACACAAGATCCATCAGATGAACTTGAATTTTCTGAAGAAATCCTTCACTTAGACGCTAAGAATTACCATGCCTGGTCGCACCGGCAGTGGATTCTTGAAACGTTCAAATTATGGGATGGTGAATTGGCATTTGTGGACAAGCTGCTTTTGCAAGACCTGAGAAACAACTCTGCATGGAATCAACGCTATTTTGTGATTAGTAATGTTAGCAAGATTGAATCTGATGTACTTAAAAGAGAAGTAGAGTATGTTTATTTTTTATTTATTTTAATGTTTTTATTTCATTCATCCAAAAGTGAGTAAGAAATACAGCTCTATAAACTATACTGTATTTTTATATTGATGTTGACTTTTGTAACCAATCTTTGAATATAAATTAAATTTTCATTTCATACATAGATATACTTTAGAGAAGATACAAAAAGCACCTAATAATGAAAGTCCTTGGAATTACTTAAGAGGGTAGGTATCACATCTTCTTTTAGTTATTAACTTTCTCTACATACTGTATACTGATATGTAGTTTGGCCTATGCAGAAGTATATAGACCAGTTTGGAGTTGGAGTGGACTTTTGGTCACACTAATAATGTACTGTATCTGGTTATTTTGTTATTTATCTTTTAGAGGGACCCACTGTTGAAATCATTGCTTGTCATGGTTTTTATTTTTCCACCTTTTTATAACTTTTGTGTTATTTATAATGAAAAAAAGGAGTAGAATAAAATTGATTGATTGAAATTTCTGGCTTGCATTTTGGGAGTAGGGTACTAGATATTTTGTATACATTAACTAACCTGGTTATATTGCATTGTACAGCATTTTATCAGACCATGAGATGTACAAGTACCCAGGCCTAATGGATACTTGCCAGGAGATGTATAATAAGGACATTCGCTCACCATACCTCATAGCGTGCATTATTGACATGTACGAGGAGATGTTAGAGGCAAAGACAAGTCAGGATGATACTCTTATGAAGGCAGTACAGGTAAGTCTAAAGCAGTGGTGTAACGCTGGTGCCAGGGCCCTTTGGCTTTCTGAGACTGGGGGCCCTATTTTGGTCACGGTCGCCAATTCCATTATGGATTTTAGATGTTCTCGTTTTTTAATCACATACAGTATGTCATTGTAGTCTAAATGTTTATATTGATGAAATAAGTGATATGATATCAGTGGCGAATCCAAGAATTTAAAATTATAGAGGGGGCCCAGGAAGGTCTATACCACCTTAGCCCCAGCATGGTTGGGGCTGAGGTAAGAAGGTTTATGATTATGGCACCTATACATGGCCAGATATGGCACTCACAGACTTTAAATTTGAATACAAGTTTATTTATTTCTCCCCTTTTTTTTATACTTTAGTAGGGGGTCCTGAGTTGGCCTTTTATCTGTCATTGGGCATAATATGAAATATGTCCTACAGTTGACATTAGAGACACATACTGTTATGATCAACAAAGCTCTTTTGGGTCAGGGTACTAGATCAAGGACCCTATGGGTCGGGGCCCTGCAGACTGCTGCACCAGAGCACATTGGTGCTACTCCACTGGTCTAGTGCTGGTAATAGTGATAATAAACTTAATGATGCTCATGATAATCCCAAAGCTGATGCTAATAATAATGTTGATGTGTTTCTTCTACACAGCATTGTAATGAACTTGCCGATCAATATGATGAAATACGGAAAGAATACTGGCGGTATGTGGAGCGCTCTCTAGTATGTCGCTTTGGTACCAGCAAAGATGAGTAGAAGACGAGCAATGCAAATGGAGTAACAAGAACCTTTGTGCTAGTAGTTCTTCATTTTGAATTTGAAAATGGAGTAGCTCTGTGATTAAGATACCTACCTTTCATTCCTAGAGCTCTGGGTTCCAGTCAAGTCAAGTGACAGAATTTTTTCCACAAAAAAAAAAAAAAAAAAAAATCTGCCTGAGCCTTATAAAAAGACTTCATATGGGGATGCTGAAGTGGTGTGTCACTTATTATTATAAGACAATAATTAAGTTCGCTATTGGCAATCCTTGGCCCAAATAACACAAGAAATAAAAATTAGGTTTTAAAGAATATTGAACTTTCAATTTATTGAAAGTTTCACATTAAATTATGCAAATTTGTGTGTTAAAAATGTACCTCTGATGTATCTCTAGCTATTTACATGTATTTGTGTACTGTATTTACATTGCTCAAAGTAAAATGTTTACATGATGTATGCTAATGTGCTCTATATATTAATATATATCATTCATATGGGGATGCTGAAGTGGTGTGTCACTTATTATTATCAGACAATAATTAAGTTTGCTATTGGCAATCCTTGGCCCAAATAACACAAGAAATAAAAATTAGGTTTTAAAGAATATTGAACTTTCAATTTATTGAAAGTTTCACATTAGATTATGCAAATTTGTGTGTGTTAAAAATGTACCTCTGATGTATCTCTAGCTATTTACATGTATTTGTGTACTGTATTTACATTGCTCAAAGTAAAATGTTTACATGATGTATGCTAATGTGCTCTATATATTAATATATATCAAGGTGGTACTGTATATACCATAGGTGGTCAAGTGCAGCCCGGGGACCACTTGTGACCCAATGACAGTTTTGTTGGGGCCTGGGAAAGTAAATAAAAATCCTATATGTGCGGCATATCTACCATTTTTGGCTATAAACCCCTTGTTGTTATGCGATGCTGGTTATCTTTAAAAGTGTTATAAAACTGAGCATCAAGAGGGACAAAAGTTTAAAGGGAGGTAATGTATTTATACTGCACAAAAACAAGTGAACAGACATAATTGGAAATACAGTTAAACTTGCCTACAGTAAGTCGACTTTGCCTAAGTCAAATAATTTTTAAGTCGATCTTATTTACATACTAAATTGTTGTGTTCGCACTTAATTAACCATCTGTAAGTCAAATTTTATCCAAGCTGAACACTTTTCAACGCCATTTTGGATTCGACTTAGGCAAGTTCAACTGTACAGGAAAGAACAACTCAAAGCCAGAACCTGTAGCAACCCAGTAGCTCATTATGTCTTTAAAAGCACACTGGAAATGCCAAATTTCACCATATGAACTTATGTGTTTGTGTGCTGCCCTCACTTTGCCCATCCCAATACAATGTTTGATTGGATGGGCCTCCTTGACATCACTGAAGCTACTACAACTATATCTATTCTGCTTTTTGTAATATGTCATTTATTGAAAGCCTGTTGAAAGTTTTAAACTTTAATGAACCTATGTGAGCTTATCTAAAGACTCTAGTGTATAAATTCTTAGAATAAAACTATGTTAATGTTGCCATGGAAACATAATTAGTATTATGTTGATATTATAGGCTATTTACACTTCTGTATGCACTTTGTGAGTCAACTGATTGTTTGTTTAGACTTTCCCACAGAAGAATTATGTTAATTTTTGTATTTCTCCTAGGCAAACAGGTGGCTCTGCATTGCAGTCCCTAAAGAATTCACTGTAATTATTCATGTCTATGTGAGTGTATTAAAATGTCATTGTTACTGTCCATAATAACTGTAATTGATTGATAGAACGAATAGTTGTATTCCACGTAGAATATGAATTTGGTCATAGTTCACACAACCATGTTTGAAATCATGTTAAGCTTAAAATATACAGATTGTTAAGACTACTGTACTGCATTTTGAGTTATTAACCATGTATAATCTATGCAGATCTCTATAGTCTTAGCCTATTGGATGACCCTACTCTGTAAACTGATGCAGGTTTTCCTGTAGATATCTTGGAGTTAGCACAGAGCTTGATAAGCTCGGTGGAAAATAATGAATTAAACAAATGTTTAAATAAAGCTATTAGTTTTAAGCTCTGAAAATTAACAAAAAAAGTAAGAATTTAAAGAATAAATGTTAAATAAAAGTCTATATGAAAGTCTATAAAATCACTACATACTCCTGTTAATAGTGATGGAAAACTTCAGAGATGAAGATACATTATCCAACAGGCATTGAAAGACACAAGTTCAAATTCTAACAAAGTGCATTACACTTTGTTAGAATTTTAAACCAATCAATGTATTCGTTTTATTATATTGAGATTTCTGTAACAGCCAACTTACATAATGTTCGTCACTCATGCTGAAGAAGGCCTGATGACAGGCCGAAATATTCATGTGAATAATAAATTTAGTGTTTCAAGTCTATCAAGTCAATCTTTTTGTCTATACTTTTGAGTTATATATATATATATATTTATATAAA